ATACGTCTGTCAATGTCAACTGTCCACGTGCATCAGTGTTAAAGGGATAGTTCACCGTCAAATGAAACTTCACTCATTATCTCCTCACCACCATGGGGGGGGGGGGGGGGTTGAGTCCAGTAAACACTTCTGGAGTTTCAGGTTGAAACTTTGTTTGAGCAGAATCCAACACACCTGAAGTAACTGGACACAAAAGCTTCAGACGTGAAGAAACAAGAGAAAACACACAACATGCCTCCATATCTGCTCCTGTGATGTCATCAAGGGTCCACATGCCCGACATTCAGATTCAACTGGGAACAGAAACAACACGCCTCCATACTGCTACTCCTCCAAACAAGGTCATTTACACCAAGTTTTTTTCCTTTTAGGCTTCAAACTAAGTGTAAATGACCTTGTTAGGAGGAGTAGCAGCATGGAGGCGTGTTGTTTCTGTTTTATTACATCTGAAGAATCAGTCACCATTGACTTCAGTCGTATTGGATTCTGCTGCAACAGTCCATCGGCATAGTGGTGAATAGATGACTACATTTTCATTTTTGGGCTTTAACGTACGTTTGTGTCAACGTACTTCTGTCCACATGTCTAGTCGGGGCTCAGGTTATGTTTGTGTCCGTCCTGCAGGTGAAGAACCCTCAGAAGTTGCGTCAGGTGGGCGTCTTCCTGGACGTGGACATGGGTCAGGTGTCCTTCTATAATGCCAAGTCGGGTTCTGAGATCTACAGCTTCACTGGATCGTATGAGTTTAGAGAGAGGATGTTTCCTCTGCTGGGCACTGGAGACAAAGAGGTCCCCCTGGTGCTCATCACCGCACAGCACCACCTGGCCTGAGGGGCCGGAGACAGAGCATCGTACCAGAGCGAGAGGAGACGTAAGGAAAGAGGCGACAGGGACAGAAGAGCTCGGACACTGGAACAGAAACTTTGAGAAACTTCCAGTTGTGACTCTGTTGCCATCAAGACTAAATAAAACATCTGTCCTCCTTTGATTTGTCTTTGGAACCAGATCGTCCTCATGTTAAAACAAGAAAAATCAATCCATTGATCAGTGAATCAAATATTAGAACAGCTGATGTCTGATGTTGTCACATTCCAGAAACCTCAACTGTAAAAAACACACGTTGATAATTGAGTTTGTTGATTAATGAGTGAATAAAGTGTCTGCAATAAATGAAAGAAAACATTTGTATTAGAACATACAAATATTAAAACATGAACTTTTGAACATTAGAACATTTCATTCACTTCCATCAAAGAAATCTTCATTTGAATCTGCATCAGTTACATTTGGTGGCTCTGGGATCTCCCGAACCTGAAGACAGGAAGGAGAGCGTCTGTCAGTGACAACAGAAATGACTGAATGAATCAAAGCCAGTCTGAACAAAGGCTGGAGCTGGTTTGCAGAGGAAGTAGCTTCAGTAAGGTGCCTTGTTTGAGCTACGACAATGTGTGAGGGGAATCAGCTGCTGTGAGCTGAGCCTGACTTTGTCCTGCCTGAACGAATGCTATGATCAATAAGAACACACGGAACATGCACTGCTCGAACAAATGAAGGGAACACTTACATCACACATTAGATCTGACTGAAGTAGAAAATCTTTACTGATCAACATTGTAGAATTAGTTGAGAACAAAATGACATCACCCAGTGAGGCTGGATTCAAACCTGGACATCCCAGTAACAAAGCGAAACCACAGCTGATCCAACCTGATTCATCAGGTCATCATGTGACTCAGTGGGTGTGGCCTCCTCGTGCCTGGATGTTCTCCGGACAACGACATGATGCTCCTGATGAGTTGGAGGGTGGAGTCCTGGGGATCTTATCTGGTATTATTCAGATGTTAATTATAACCATCCTCGCTCATGTTTACGCACCTTCCTGAGGTTTGAATCTAATGTGTTGTGTTCGTACAAACTCACTGTACGAACAAATGTGGGACAAATTCACCATTCGATTCCAACATGGTCTTCGTTTGCGATGATGAAAACCTTTCATTCTACACAATTAAACTTGCAACACAGAGACGTCTTCCGTCAGTTGTTGTCATGGTCACACGCAGATAATGGATTTGTCGGCAGGAAGCTGTGAAAGTCAGTGAACAGGAAGTGATTCTGGACACACGTCACAACATTTCTAATCTTTTCAAGTTCATATTTTATTTAACATAAATCATATTGCAGTCAATGTGAACAGCTGGGGTTTCAATATACACAATAGAGTCAAACATTTTAGGTCACGCTTTAACCCCACCCACAATTACCCCCCCAGCCCATGAAGCAAAAAGAAACCCTCCCCCTCCCCCATAGACCCCACCCACCCTCTGCTCCTTTAAAACACACTGATCATCCCACCCCCACGACAGCACCGCCACCTGACATGTAGCTCCGCCCCTAATACTATGTGTGTGTGTGTGTGTGTTTGTTTAGCAGCAAACTCCACCTGATCAACGTTGGCATCATTTATTGCCACCGGTCTCACCTGCACCAATGTCATGTGATCAGCTGTGAATAAACTTCTTTTATTTTTATTTCTCTTTAAGGCTCGTAGCGAACACCTCCCATTTAAGCCCCTCCCACCAGCACTGACATCATCCTACCTCCGGTTGATTCATGGCGAGCAGCAAACTGTCGACTTTGAGTTACTACGTAGAATAAAATGGTGACTTCCAGATATCTTGTCATCGCTGTCACGTTGCCATAACGACTTCAGGGACGTTGTCTCTGATGACAACACGATCAGTTTGGAGTTTGCTGCCGACTGAAGTGTGAGTAACAAACAAGTGGCTGCAAAAAGGAGGTGGGCGTGTCCTTCTGACCACCTGATAAACTCAGGTGTCTCCACCACGCTCATAAAATTAAAAAAAATAAAATTCATGTGGGTAGCATGGTCAGGCATTGCGGCGTTCACCGAATAATTGATTCACCTGAGCAACATTCACCCCCCCCACCTCTCAACCCTCCTCCATCATCATCATCATCATCATCATCATCATGGGCCGCTGCCCTCTATCTGCCATCTTTTGAGTCCAGTTAGGTGTGTGTTTTATCAGCGCCCCCCTGTGGCGTGTAAACGGTTGAATTCTGCATCTCGGAAATAAACAGAGAGAGATATGGGGGGTGGGGGATAAATGTGAGCAGGTGGGGGTGCGTGTGGGGGCGGGTCTGTCGTCTTGTTTTAAAACAGAAAAGCGTCTTCTGATGAGCTGCTTCCTGTCTCAGCAGCTTCTGCTGACGAGCAGGACGGAGGAGGGGGAGGAGTGGGGGTGGGGGGAGTCTGGAGGATGGTTGGACGCCGAGTTATTTAAGACACCTCTCAAAGTAGGTGGCGCCCACGTAGCCGCCCCTCAGAGAGCGTTGGACATTCTGCTCGAAGAGCCGCCGGTTCGTCTGCAGAACCTCGGCCGCATCTTTGTTCAACGGGTCCTCAGGGTTCGGCTCCTGCAGGGGGAGGAGAGGGAGGAGGAGGAGGAGGGGGGGAGCACCTTGATGATCAGAAGTGGAACAATTCACCGAACAATCAATCAATTAATACGTTTTAACTAATGGACGGATCTAAATGTTCTACGGGTCAATGACCGAAGTTATTTACTAGCTAACTGACCGACTAACAAGCTAGCTAATAACTTACTAACTAGCTGGCTAGCTAACTGACGGACTGACTACCTGCACCTAGACGTGAACGTTCCACACACTTGTCAAAGCATCAATATCAACACGATCAGTTGGTCTCCTCGCTGCTGGATGATGATTATTGATGATTATTATTGGATGTATAAAGTTGCCATGTGCTGCAGCCGCTCAGTGTGTGAGACTCACTAGAAATAGATACTGTAGACCGTAGATGATGGAGTTTATTGTCAACACAGGCTTCCAGTCCTCTCTGTGGACAAACACACACAAAGTGAGGAAGTGAAGGGCTGCCGGTTCAAAGCTCGGCAGCTGTTTACAAACCTTAAGATATTGAGGCAGACGTTTCCTTCCAGGTCGATGTTGGGGTGATACACCATCGTCTCACACTTTACCTTGGGGGGGTCATGAGGATAACCCTGTCCTACCTGAAAAACACTCCATGTTAGCTGATGGGACATGGACTAAACAAAAAAAATGTTTAAATCAAAGGAGACAGAAGAAATTTTCTCAGACAGTTTCTGTCATTTAAGGTATGATGAGGTATTGTTGATCGTCTTTATATACAGTCAGTGATGGTCTTTATATACAGTCAGTGATCATCTTTATATA